CTAAAAAAAAGAAAAAAAGAAAAAGAAAAAGAAAGAAAAGAAAAAGACAAATGAACATAATACAAAGCAGAAACAGACTCATAGACATAGAATACAAACTTGTGATTGCCATAGGGGAGGGAGGATGGGAAGGGACAGACAGGGAGTTTGAAATCTGTAGATACTGGCAGGTATATATAGAAAAGATAAACAAGATTATACTGTATAGCACAGGGAAATATGTACAAGATCTTGTGGTAACTCACAGTGAAAAAGTATGTGACAATGAATATATGTATGTTCATGTGTAACTAAAAAATTGTGCTCTACACTGGAAATTGACACAACATTGTAAACTGACTATAACTCAATAAAATAAAATTTAAAAAAAAGTCTAAGAAAATCCACATTTATTTCCACTCATCAGGATTTACTAGAGGGCACTGTATTTCTCTACAGAACTTTATATTTCAAAACATCTGGGTCAGAATAGAACCATTATTCTTTCAAGGAATAATGATTTTAATGGGATAAAAGCTCCCCCCCAAACCACTAAAATGAAATTATAAGGTATTACTGACTGTAAGAAATTTACATACACAAACGCATTGGGTCTGTATCATCATTTGTGATGTAGCTTGGGAAATCAGTGTGCTCTAATTATAGAGGTAAAATGAAAGCAAAGATACTTCATCAACATAAGGATATATTTTTCTCAGAGGTTGCTAGTGGCTTTATAACCTGAAAAGAAATTTCTCTTATTTTTTTTTTTTACTGTTAACCGTGCTGTTAACCGATTGAAAACCAATCTCCATGGGAAAAGAAAATTGATTCCCACTTTAGATATGTGTTACTTTCTCCTTGGTGAATTACAATTTATGGAGGGAAGGTTTATAGGTCACAGAAAGGTGCAGCTATATGCCAGAATATTCCAGAGATTATTCAGGCCACATTCAACATTTTCCAGAGATTGTCAGTGGCTTGTGGTCCTTAGTCTCCAACAGATGGCCCTCCAAGGACTCACACCTGTGTCTTCCCTCCCCTCGAATCAGGACTTGACCTGCAACTGCCCTGACCTCTGAGCCCATGCTGCGGTGAGAAGCCCAAGTCATGTGGAGACGCCGAAGCCCTGAGGGCAGAGAGGACGAGGCCACCACCTGTAAGCGAAGATGGGCTCACCGAATCCCGTCACTGAATCCCACCTCCTCAGACTTGGAGAACTCTGCCAGCTGCAATCAGGCTGCACCCCTAAGACAAGACCCCAGGCAAGAACCTCCCAGCTGAGCCCAGCAAACCCAGAATGATGACACTAAAACACTGTTGCGTTAGGCCGCCAAGTTTGAGGGTGTTTCGTTGCTCAGCAATAAATCATCAGGAGACTTGTCGAGGAACCAGAGCTAGAACGGGACCACCCACCTCCCCTAAGTTCCATGTCCTGCCTCTGCCCGCAGTCACCCGCTCCGTGGTTATTGTCACTTTCCCTGAATATCTGTAGTCTGTGTTCCTGCAGATAATTCCTGAACTGCTTTGTATCCTTAGCTGCCTATTGAGGTCTTCTTTATCACTAACAAGAGAACAGGAGATAACTGCTCCTTTATCTTCAGGACTAGGAGAAACAGATGACTTCCCTCTGCAGCAGTCACTTAGAGATCACAATGACAGTTTTTAAATTGTTTCATTAGTTAAACCTAATAAGCACTGAATGGGAATGACTGTCTGCATACAGCCCGGCTGGGTTATGAAAGAGGTTCCACCTGAAAGGCTTGTGAAAACTAGACTGCTGGACTCCACCCCTCAGAGTTTCTGACTCACAGGGCCTGAAATTTGGCCCAAGAATGTGCCTCTCTAACAAGTTCCCAAGTGACACTGATGTGGCAGGTCCTGGACCACATTTTGAGAACCTCCAAGTTAAGATAATCCCCGAACCCTCTTTTCTAGGATTGCAAGTCCAAAAAAAGGTGATAAATCAGGTAAATCGGAATTCTCAGTTTCTCATCCTGGGCCTCCCCCTGCTGTGATCTCTCTCCTCTCTAACCCTCGCCATGGACCAGCACCTTCAGGTCATCCCTGCCTCTCCATGTCAAATCCGTCACAGCTGTGACTTCTTCCGAATCTCCCCAACATGCCAAAATTCCCATTGCCTCCTACTTTTGATTCAGAAACACTGCATTTAAATGATCGAGTTTGAGCTCATCTCGGGTTGAGATCAGGCCGGTATCATTCTTGTACCAGCAGTGCCCAACAACGCAGCGCCTGGCACAGAGTTAGCATCCAACTGCTTTTAGGTAAAATTAAATAAAAATTCAGTCTTCAGTGCAAATTATTCATAGTTTTGCTCTGGTGCTACAGGGCAAGGATTCCATTCAAGTTTAAGAACTATGTCTATGAACTGAAAAGGCATGGAGCACCAGTATTTGATTTTCACTTGACTGAAAACACACGAGCAAGGACAGGCACTTACAAAGTGCCTCTGTGAACTGGAACGTGGGGGATGATGGACGGGACGCAGCCAGAGCTGCTGACAGGCCAGTGGGAGGCACGTGGGAAGGATGTGGTTTTGTTTCCAACTCTGGAGAGTCTAAGCTCTCCATTCAAAGGTGGAAAGGACCTCTCTTGTCCGGGAGTAGACGTGCACCATGCTACGTATTTTACCTAAATCAACCCCCTGAACCCTCATGACTACCCTAGGAGCGACAGTTCATTTCAGCATCCTCTTTGCACAGATTAGAAATCTGAGCCACGGAGAGTACGTTTAATAGAACCGAACTTGGGCAGACTGGTCCCAGAAATTGGGCTCTTCATGACTAGGCTGCAGTGCCCTCTTTTAAGGCAATGAGACAGTAAAATTCTAAAACAGTTCCAAATGGAAGCATTAAGGACCCAGATCTGTCCCTTTCTTGGCTCCACCCCTACTGTATATGACATTTTTACCAGAAGAGTTGACATGTTCACCTCTAAAATAGCTCTGGATTTATACAAGCTGCACTGTTAGCCTGAAAAGACTGTAACACCGTACGGTTAAACCAGGCTGATCTCTGCCAATGAGCCCCCCGTGGGTAGGTTTGGGTATCTGAAAAACCACACCATCGGAGCACTAGCAGTGAGCCTGCTTTGCTACTCATTTTCTGAATGACTAACGGGATGAGTTACAGCAAAGTTGGCTTGAGACAGACTGTGGCCAACTCACCTCACAGGTCCTGAATTTGATACCTAAGTATGTATGCATTATCTTGATGTGGGAAAGGACATGCTTTCATTTGTATTTCTCACAATTTTCAATGTAATATATCATACACCAGAGATTGAGAGCTGCTAGACACAATAACATAAACATTATAAAATCTGAGCATATTTGGCATTCGAGGTTGTCATTATTAACAGCTAACATTACAATACGTTGCTCTTGCAAACTTTATTGATTTTTTTGCAAAAAGTTGAGATTATTAATATTTCAAAGGTTAAAATTTGTATCTAATTCTACTCAAATTGGCTATATTACATTAAGACAAAAATGCATAATCATACCATTTATAAATTGGTGCTCCCAGTGTAATTTCATAACGTGTTGTCTTCACAAACCTAGTTATTTTGCCTACAAAAAAGATATTATTTTATCTTAATTAGGCTATTTAAATTCTGAACCATTAAGGAAAACAGCATTGGGGATAAAACATGTTTTTCACAGCTATAGGTGGTATCTTTTTGCCTAATAAATAGAATGGAAACTGAGCGCTCAGTTTTCCCCGTGGCGAAGCCTAATGACCAAAGCAATTCTTATGTTGATAAACATGTAATGAACATCTATGTGACATTTATAGAGCTAAATGTTCATCATTAGGGAATGGGGACTAACAGATACACATTACTATTTATAAAATAGATTAAAAACAAGAACCGACTGTATAGCACAGGGAACTATATTCAATTTCTTGTAATAACATACAAAGGAAAAGAATCTGAAAAGAAAATATATACATGTGTGTATATGTGTAACTGAATCACTTTGCTGTACACCTGAAATTAATATTGTAAATCAACCACACTTCAATAATTTTTTTAAGTGCATGTGAACTGAGTAATAATAAGGGTGATGGTGATAAACAATGCCTGACCCACAACAGGTACTCAATAAATGTTTCTTGAATCAATAGATACATGAATTAAAGCCAATATTTTAGAGCTCTTTTTTTCTGCCAGGCACTGTTCTAAATACTTTCATGTATTAAAACACTGAATTTTCCTAACGTTCCTACCATCTTCATGGTTTTCCAGATGAGGAAATGGGCCTTCGCGAGGAAATACCTTCTGTGTCACCCAGCTGTCAAACAGCACAGCCGAGTTTCCAAGCCAGGTTTGTCTGCTGTGTCAGGGAAGTCAGCCTTGCACGGAGCAAAGACTGTGAAAAAGTGGTGGGATGGCATGATCGCAGACATGTCATAAAATGTGCTCTGACAGCAAAAAGGAGGAGCTTTTTCTGCATCTCCGGAATGGAAAATACTTTCCAGCTGAGTTCCCTTTTTAGTTGGACTGGAAAATTCAACCACCAAAGAACAGGAAAAGAACATCCAGGGTAGAGAGGGAAATCCCAGCATGGGTGTAAATTCAGGTGGTGATCAGTAGATCAAGAAGTTCACAGCAATCAGACTGAAATGACCCTAGGACTTGGAAGGAGAAATGTCTTCAGAATCAGATCATTAAAGGACCTTGTGTACCATGACTAGGAAATGAGATTTACCAGGAAGGCAGTGAGAAGTCTTCGGCATCACTTAAGAGGAAGAGTGATATCATCAAATTATCTTTTAAAGAGTTAACCTGTGGACAGAGTCAAGCATGGTCCTTGACAGAGATTGTAATAGGGAAGAATAAAGACTCCACATTAGATCTGTCCCTTCAGCTCTAACCCTGGGCTCTGTTTCCTGGGCTCAGTCATGCTGGTTCTGCACCTTCTGTAAATAAATGGTGCCTAGAGCCTGACATAGACAGAAGAGCCCATTCTCAAGGCTCTGACCTTTAAGGGTCTAATACGTTTCCACTCATGTAGAGGTAAAAAGTTGCAGAACAGAATAACATTTGCCTCGTTGGAGGTTTGCAGGGACACCATGACCTGACCTACAAGGACAGCTGCAAGAACAAAGGATCCAGACACCAAGAATTTTGCAACAACCAACCACACCCCGTCCCCTTTTTAGTATAAAAGGAGCCTGAATTCTGACTTGGGGAAGATGGTTGTCTAAGACATGAGTCCGCCATCTTCTTGGTCTGCTGGCTTTCCAAATAAAGTCGTTATTCCTTGCCCCTACACCTTGTCTCCCGATTTACTGGCCTGTCTGTCATGCAGTGAGCAGAATGAGTGTGGACTCGGTAACAAGATGAGTTGGGAGCAGGTCAGCAGTGAGAAGAAGGAAGGGGAAATAAGTGATCAGGGATCAATACTTGACCTCACTGTGCTCTGCATGCCTCCTGGCCCATTTATTTTTAACTTTGAAGACATGTTTTCAGAAATGCAAATCACTTTGGCAATTTGCATAACTAGCACACTCAAAACATTACCATAGCAATGCTTAACTCCACAGCTGCCCATGTTTTCCCTGCTCGCTCCTTTTCTGCTAGATCACCCAGCTAGTTGCCCCTCATTCCTTCCTTCAACTAACGCAACAAAGCGTACAATTCAAAGTCAAAGGCTCTTGGTGGTCATATGTATTATAGTTCTCTAGAGAAAGGGAACCAATAAGAGGTGTGTGTGTGTGTGTGTGTGTGTGTGTGTGTGTATACATATATATATATAAAAAATGCACATATACATACTATACACATATAATATGCATAAATATGCACAGTGCATTAATATACATAAAAAGTTTTTTTTTAAGAAGGAATTGGTTCATAAAATTATGAAGGCTGGGAAATCCAAAATCTGCAAGCTGGGCTGATAGGCTGAGACCCAGGTGAGCAGATATTGCAGATAAGGTTGAAGAGAACTGCCTCTTGTTTGAGGAGTCTAATATTTTCATTCTATTCTGGCCTTCAGCTGCTTGCA